ATTTGCATATTCATGAGCAACATTACGATGTCAACCAAGGCACTGAATCTCGAAGTTGCACTGATTTGTGTACAGAAAATTTCTAGATTTTTTTTTAAACGCTGCTATCATAGATTTCATTTCTTTTGGCAATTTTGTTGCGTAACTATATGGCAATAAGCAAGTAAGCATACTTTCCACAGTAATGTTTTCAGACAGCAAATTTGGAGTTCACAATTTGAACATGCATACATGCAAACTGAAACGGTACTACATCTTCCTCGATTTACATTAAAGCAAAAGCGCCCTCATTTGTTCAAAAATATTTGTTCAATTTTGAATGTTTAAAACTCCAAAAAATATGTCATCAAACATTGAAGAAAAGTACAGAGATACACAAAAAGTGCTTCTAAGAAAAATTCACGTCATGGCTCCTCTAACTTATTGATGAAGTTTGCATGTCGTTCCCTCAATGGCAACGCCGGAGACTTCTGACGTCCGATATTTCCATGTGGAAGGTACACACGTGTGTATGCTGCGAAATATGCAATCTACATTGCTGCCAAACTCAAGCGATTTTACCTGTTGGATTAGCCCTCAGTTTCAATGGCAGGTTGTAAAGTTTTAGTGGCGGTTTAGCCGCTGTGATTTGTTGTCTCAGTATCTATATATCATGAGCTTCCTTGCAACCCAAGGAACCCTGTCGGTTGACCCCTGTAAGTTTGAGACACTTGCCCTGAATGTACGTCCACGTGAAGGCTTTTGCAGTAATGAATAACTTAATACAAAATTAGCATCTTTACTGCATAAAAAACGTAATGTGAGACCCTGGGAATTCAAGGCAACGAGAAAACAAAGTGGGCTAGTTTCAACATCAAAGTTTGTGGGTGCACAACACCATTTTATTCAAAAGCAAATGGAGTCAATCATGGTCCTATTCATCCTTGACAAAAATGAGGTTTATGTTTCACTTTGATGCCAGACGGTTACGTGAGTGCTGTGGTTGCATCCAAGTCCCGAATCTGTTGCCTAAAGGTACATGTATAGGTCAAGGCTATATTCTTTTCGAAATACGTAGAGCCACGAAGCCTGTTGTAAGAAAATGCTAAAAGTTTTGGTTTTTTTTTAAAGAAAACAGAAAAGTCGCCCTATATAAACACTTTAAAGCAAAGGGCGACACCAGACGATGCCACACGTCGTGTGTGTACAAACGTCACATAGCGAGAAGGTGACGGTGCGAGTCGTCGTGCCGTCGTGTCGTGTAGTTGTGTCGCGTAGAAAGAGGCAGAAAGGTGTATCGTAAATAGTACGCCATAGCTTTTGCAGCAAGAAAAAGTTCCTCCTTCACTTGATTTTACAAGTTCAAAAATAAGAGTTGTAAAACGAACAGAGAGGATTCGAACATAAGACGGAGGTTTTCAAATAGGGAGTAGGCGGCCCTACTCCTAACCAATCCACACACCCACTGCCATTAAATTTGGATAAAATCTGGTACACTGAGTTGTCTGATTGCACATAAACATACAATTTGAACGGCCCCAGACTAAAGACCGTGTTGCCATACCTCGTGATTCGGGGCAAGCTTTTGCATAGCAACCACCAACTCTGGAATGGACTGGTTCCTTTGTGCCCTTCTTAATCACTGAAAACAATGCATTGGCGCAAGTTACCCCTTATGTAACTAATCAAAAAGCTTGCACCGAATCACAAGGTATCGCAACAGTCTCTTTAGTTTGAAGAATTCAAATTTTTATGTTCAGGTGAATTTAAACTAACCAATGTACCAGATTTTATTTAAATTAATCTCGCAAAAGGCTTATTTAATACCCTTATACGTTATTATAACAGCCACTATTTTAAGTCTTAGACAGAACTATGAACAATACATAAGGACGAGGGCGTCCTCTTTCGAAATCGTTAGATCTCGTTTGGGAAAACAAAATGGGGGCAGGCCAACTTCAGTACACTTGAGTTCCTATCGCACAAAGAATGGCAGACTGCGCAAAGTGATAACGTCCGGGCCCTCAATATATTAACCAGCCTTTGATCTAAAATAGGCCATGCTTCTGGGGGAGTTAGAATTTCAAAAAAATGGGGGGCACAAAAATCATCTTATTACAATTTTGTTTTGGGGGAGATTGTCTAATGAACCACAGTGTAATGGTTTTTTTGCTATGATCGTAAACGCTGTGATACAGTGTATTTAACACCTCTGTGCTGTACGCGTTTATGTTTCTTTTGCCTTCCATACTTAGCACATTGCGCATGCGCGTGCCTTCCGATCGAACCATGCTGTAACTTGAGACTTTTGTGGTCACGCTTTCTCAACGAGCACGACGCCTGCAAACTGTCTTAAATATAAAGAATGTTATATTGTTAAACCTTCAATGTGTGCACCCACTTGTTCATGAGTTAGTCGCCATTATTTGTTTTGTTGTTCGATAAATTATGCAGGGGAAGTTTGTGTTTTAATCTTCATCACGTGAGGTCTGCCATTTCTGTCATGTCAATTCTCATGTAGGCCTACATGTATCGTTGTAAAGACTCACGTTATGCTTTTCGTCAATCTAACTTTGTTCCATTTAACACTTGTTCCTATGATAAGTTACACGTAATTTGCTGCATGGACAGACGCTATGGATGCTTAAGCTAGTTTTCTTAACCTTGTGAGTGCTAGCCTTTGAATGAAGTTGATCGATGTTAAAACTTATCGTAAGACCCCATGTAACCTTGACTTCCCTTTCTTGTGACTTTTGACATGCCCCAGTACATGTGTAATGCGTTATGCTCGAGTACTGTGTATGTATGCTTTTGTTTTCATATTGCTTTGCACACACATTAAGGGCCTATGTTTGTGAATTGTTTTACAGTGTAGTTATATGACGTGGGGTGGGCCAGTACCTCTGTAGGGAAGGAGCCTGCCTTGGTAACTCGCCCTGCATTGGTGCTTCTCTGACACTCAACTCTCACCTTTGCCTCCCAGTAACTGCAGCATGCGCAGCGGGCACACCCCTGTAAACCGTGTTGCAAACAGAATAGGGTCCTCTACATTGGATTGGAGCAGCAGTGGAGTTCGGCAGCCACCTGGGCGACCGAGCAGACCTTTTCAGGATCGCTCTGCTCGCCTCCTTAGCATGAGGACGGGGCTAGAAAAGGTGCCCAAATATAGTCTGCTCCACATCTCCCCGGCCAGCCTGCCGCAGCTGGCGGGAATCCCAATACTGCGGCCAAACTAAGCAAATGAAGAAACTAGCCATCACACATGCGACCTACAATGTTCGCACCCTGCTCGATAACATCAGAGCCAGTAGACCAGAGAGGAGAACAGCGCTTGTAGCCAGGGAACTGTCACGCTACAATGTGGATATTGCAACACTCAGAGAGATCCGAATCGCAGATAAAGGCCATCTGACAGATTGGAGGTGGCTACACCTTCTTCTGGCGTGGTCGCTCCAGCGAAAGCCGCCGTGAGGCAGGCGTGGGCTTTGCCACCAGGAACCACCACGTGAGGAAGCTCGCTAGTATTCCTAAGTGTCTCAATGACCGGTTAATGTCCATGCAGCTTCCCCTTGGCAAGGGGAAGATCGTCACGCTGATCAGCGCCTATGCTCCTACCTTGTCTAACCCTGACGAGATAAAGGACAAGTTCTACGAGGAACTTGATGCCTTCATCCCCTGCGTCCCGCTGACCGAGAATCTCATAGTCCTTGGTGGTTTTTATGCCCGTGTCGGCTCCAACCATCAGGCTTGGGACAGAGTCTTAGGAAGGCATGGTACAGGGAAGTGCAATAGTAATGGCCTCCTCCTGCTTCAAACCTGTGCTGCACTTGACCTGGCCATTGCCAACACTATGTTCCGTCTTCCAACCGCAACAAGACGACGTGGATGCACCTATGCTCTCGCCAATGGAACCTTATTGATTACATTATCATCAGGGCAAAGGATAGGCGCGACGTGTAACTATTAAAGGCCATATGTGGTGCAGATTGCTGGACGGACCATCGCCTTATCATTTCCAAGCTGGCGCTCTTCATTCAGTCCAAGCGGAGACCCCATGGGCAGCTGGTCGTCAAGAGACTCAGTGTCAATACATGTATGTTAAAAAATACCCAGACAGCACAAGAGCTCCTGAGTGCTCTGGATAGCAAACTCTCAAGTGCATTCAACTCAGAAGTCAGTGCTGAAGAACAGTGGAAGTCCTTTAGAGACACCCTTCACTCCTCCTTCTTCGAGATCCTGGGTCCGGGTATCAAAAACCACCAGGACTGGTTTGACGAAAACGACACTGAGATTCAAGACATGCTCGAGGAGAAGTGTCACCTATACTTAGAGCCTATCAAAACAACGCCTCTTGTGCTGCGAAAAAGGCTGTCTTCTCTAATATGCGCAGCAAAGTTCAAACCAAACTTCGTGCCATGCAGGACTCCTGGCTGAGCAGCGAGGCTGATGAGATCCAGGCCTACGCAGACCGGCATGACACCAAGAGGTTCTATGATGCACTCCGTGCTGTCTATGGGCCTCCCTCCAGCGGTTCCTGTCCACTTCTCAGTGCAGACGAGTCCATCCTCCTCAATGAGAAACAGCTAATCCTGGAGCGGTGGGCGGAGCACTTCAGCAGTGTGCTCAACAGACCATCTGCCATCAATGATGAGGCCATCGCCCAGCTTCCCCAGGTGGCCATCAACCAAGACCTTGACCTCTCTCCAACTTTAGACGAGGTCCGCAAGGCCATCAAGCTGCTGGCTTCTGGGAAAGCTCCCGGCCCGGATGCCATACCCTCCGAGATCTATTGTGGGGAATTGGTAAATATCATGGGCTGGAAATAACCACCCAGGTCTTATTGCAGTTGGGAGCGTTCAGGTAAATACAATGTAGTCCCTTACGAAGATAATCATTTGCTTGTCCCTATAGGTAGAGTAACTTGAGTGAGTTTAATTGATTAGTTAACCTGGTAGTAATATTAGATCCTGATCATTAATTTGGGGGACTGTAATAAGGCGCGAGATGTAGTTCTCCAGAACTTTCTCTGGGTCTTTGTTGAAACTGTGAATGAACACAACTGCGTTTCGTGCCTGTGTTTTATGGTTCTTGGGCTTAAAATCATTCTGGTAACCGGGGCAGCATTGGAGGAAGGGAATTGGGATTTCTTGAGACTAGTGAGTGTTACTCCCAGACTTGTCTGGTCGTAGTTTTCTTGTAAATGTCTTGGGCTCACCATGTCCGATTCTCCGCCGTATGTGGTGCATGCAGCAATGCCCTGTTCCGTGTGATGTACATGTACGTGTACAGTGTACATGTATATGCTGTACACACTGTACGTGCACTGTCCGTTTCGGTGACCTTTGGCCTTTGCTGGGCGTTGATAGTGTGCATTGTGCGTGTATTGCATGTACAGTACTTGTACACGTACACTGCGCGCTGTACGCATGGCTCTAAAATTTCAATACAGTGTACAGTACGTGCATTTCAATTTTCATGATTTTTCTGATTTACTGTGGTTCACTCCAAAATCACTGTAACTTTTGTATTGTTTCGGCAGACCATCCATATAGCTTCTAATCCATTGCGTAGCCTGCACATTTGGGTTTTCAGTCTTGGAGAGTTGCTTGTTGGGTAAGCTAGACGGTTCCGTTATGTGATAATGTATTATAATTGTATAAATTGTCACTGTGTGTAATTATTTTATTAATGATTGGTGTGCAATTATACACATGTATCTCTCTGTATTTGCAGGGGTTTGTTTTAATCAATTTTTCTGCTGGAATCAACTGGAAAATAAAATGGTCGAATCTCAAACCAGTGTTCATGTCAATTTTGCTCAGGGCGCCGCACTGAGATAGCAATCAAGAAACGCGAAGCCCGCAAGGCCCAAGCTACCACTACTCCTAGCGCGCCACCCACCCACAGGTGCCCCACCCACAGGTGCCCCACCTGTGGCAGAGGACTCTTCGTCTGGATTGGCCTTATCGGTCATCTCTGGGTCCACCAACAGAAAACCTCAAGCTAACCAGCGAACTTGACCATCTTCGAAAACGAAGGGCGAACAACAATATGTATGCTTTGTTTTCCTTACTGCTTTGCACACACACGGCCTACGTTTATGAATTGTTTGGCAGTGTAAATATGACACGCCCCTAGAACTCCTGTCACAATGTCAGTTCTGTTATTCCTGGAAGACTGGGAAACCACAAGTCTGTAATTATCTGGACATGGTACCTTTTCATGTACATGTGGTTATATGTTTTTCGGTTTGACGGAATTTCATAACATTTTGGTAGATCCAGACTTTTTCACGTTTGTTTTGACTAAATATTCAGGGTAGAAAACCTTATTGTCTTTTTATTGTCCTTTTGGAAAGAATGGAAACTAAAGTTTGTTTTGGGTTTATTTTTCATGCATATCATGTACATGTATAATTACACTGTAAGCACAACTGATGCAAGTTTCTTGTAATTTCTTTATAGTTTTATCACATATCTTTATCACGTATCATATCCTGATGGTTATGCTAACGGATAAGGGCTTTCCCTTTGCTCTGAGGTCGGTATAACCTCACCCACAGATTCTGTATCTTGATTGGCCGAAAGTTTGTCATGTGTCGCTTGCTTATTTTACAATTTTCATACCACCGCTTCAAAAAAGACTATACCAGGCAGCCTCATTCTGAAAAAGAACTATACCCATAGCAACGAAAGCACAGGCGTGTATTTCGGCTCATAGCAAACAACATTGGTTAACATATGTATTCAAACGTTGCTGTTCCGCTTGGAATTCTTGAATTAAATCTGATGAATGTGAAGCCTCGGGAGAATAGCATGCTGCACGGATCACCTCGAGAGGCTAGTTTTACTGTACCACTCGAAAACAGTCAATATTTGTCTACTATCTTTAAATGCATTATAATAAAAAAATTAATATGGAAATATCAGAAAGTTCTATAAGATGAGTTCCAATTTACTCATCGAAATTCAAAGCCAAATCGAATAAGGAAAAACGAAATGTGATACAGAAATTTAATAAGGCTAAATGTAATTTACAGTTCTTATTTAAAAATCTAATTTACAATTCGGATGTCAAAAACTCAGTCCTTGCAAAAAATCGATTATGACGCGAGCATTTCAAATTCGATTTTAAAAAACTGTTGCCGTTATAATTCAAATTTAACTGTTGGCGCTATGAAGATTTTTCATCTTTTCAACTGAAGTTATATTCTAACTACAGATAACAACTTTTAAAAAGTAGGTGAGCCACAGAATAGGCTTTACTAAACGTCGATTTCAATAAAAGATATTTATTTAAGGATTATTACTTATGTTGTACATGTTAGTTTTAATTTCTTCGTTTTATGAATATTTTAATTCAATGTTTATTTTTTTTATCGCTTAATCTTTAATTATGTTTTATAACTCCTGTTACTTTGTTTTAATTATTTAAAGTTAGTTTAATTTTTGCATTTTACTTTACAGCGCCTTGAGATGTCATTGACATGGAAAGCGTTTTTTAAATAATTCATTATTATTATCATTTAACCTAGCTAGAACTCCAATTTTAAATGGTGCTCAGGGAAATCACCCCCCCTTCAACAGCCACTCGCGGTGGACATGTTTGGACTGACGTGACGTCAGATGCTTTGTTCTCAGATGACCTTGCCTTGTTTTGAAAACCGAACTTGACTTAGCTTATTTAAGAGCGTGGACGACCATAAAAAAGTGGTGAAGCGGTAACTTTCGGCGCGAGACTTGTCTTTGGAGCATTCCATCCCCCACTGCCACAAATCCTGTAGGTAATCCTCCTGGTCCGCCGCAGGAATCAGTGGTGTTTCTCCCAAACATGTCTTCATGAATACTGCCAACAGCAAGCAATTGCATTAATTAAGTTAGAAATATCAGCCTGTTAGAGTAGTTAACTAATTGGGATTGAGTTCCACACAGAGACGCCACCCGTGCACAAACCCTACGAGATTGGTCCGAGAAATTCTAGATGATTTCTAAGTGAATACCTCAATATTTTCCCTGCTAAATTTCACTTTTAGCCTGTTCATGTTACTGCTTTCAGATAGTTAATGTAGGTGACTGTAGGGAAAAACTGGTGGCGTCTGTACATGGAATTCTTCCCCACGAATATAAATTCTGTAGAGTGATTCATAAAACGTAGGCATTTGTGTTTCCAGTGGCGTAAATCTGTGCTGGAAATTGGGGGATGAGAAAAGGTGGTGAATTGCCTGGCCATGGAAATTTGGAAAGTGGGGGAAGCAATGCCATATACACTATATGATGTTCGTGATAAAGATGTACATCTGTAATGTGTATCAAATTCATACAGAATCTTACATCAGAATGGTATAGTTAGGGCTTTTTAAAATTGTTTTCCCTTTTTAGTGATATGGCAAACATTTCAGTGGTTTGGAAATCTTAACAAGTCTTCACAATCCCCCCTTTTTTTGCGAATCACAAAAAGGGTGTAGGGAATGATGCAATAGCCCGTCCCCCTTCAAACAGTGGGGGATATATAACCCCCCCCGGATTTACGCCAATGTGTGTTTCAAACCCCGCGGCAGGTTCATGAGGAAAAAAACACTGAAGGACCAAATGAATTTCCCAACTGTTTGAAATGAAAACAGACGGTTGAAATGGTCATAATTGTAAATGGTTGAAAATAGCGGTCAATCTTTTATTCTTAAAATACTGTTTTATCCGAAACTCCTGTTCGTTTTTGGTTTGCAAAGCTCTTCAACCACCGATTTGCTCTGTTGTTTTGTTCAGTGACGTACTGCAGTTTTGACTGGACTTGAAAATAATCATTGCCGACTCTCACGTTTGAACTGAGTTTCAGATAGGTACACCTCGTGCTGCCGCACTTCGCAGTTCGCCCGCTCCCATCCACACGCTTTGAAGACTTCCTCTGTGTCCGATGCGGATCGGGTCCACTGACGCAGTTGTGATTGGTAATCCTGAAAGATTCGGGAGATAGCAAATAACACAATGAATGCGTCAGACTGTAAGATAGGTCGTGTTCAAAGATACAAAGCATCAGTGGCGTAGATCTGTCTTAACGAGCGGGGGGATGCCATGTGATGGTCTGGGGCGACAAACCAAGTGACATTGTTGTCGGTGACCCTCGGCCGCCACCCCCTCCCCCGATAAAATTGACTTTAGTAGGATCCGTGCCTTGTTTCCGATGCTCTGGCATTCAGGTAGTGTGCATCATACCAAAGTTTACTAAAATATACGCCTAAATATTTACGTTTTATCGTTTTTCTCTCTCCATCTCTTGTGCCTCCGTGAAACCTACAATAATAAGAACCCAATGTGGGACAGTTCAGTGAACTACTTAACATTAGCGTATGCAGGGGAGGGGGATAACTTGGCCCCCTGTGGGACTTTTTGTTCTTTTAATCGATACTTCATAGGGGAGTAGGAAAGAAAGTAATCAGTATTTTTGTTTATCAAAAATTAGCGCCAAAACCCTATTAAAGAAAACAACACCAGTAAATAAAAGCAAGGATGTCGGGACAAGCTTTTGATACCCCCCCAACATCATGTTGAATGCGCCTGAAGCCGAATGCATTCGCATTCCCCGGAAGAGCCACCAGACATAGAACCACATCACGGAAACGTTTCGCCCGACTTGTCTCATGAAAGGTTTGGCCTATGTGTGTTGCTCGCGAGCCGGTCGTACGTATGGTGGCCCTAGAGGAACATGATCGCCAATATTGCCGTAAATATTCACGATCAAAATACTCGACCTGCTCTCCAGTTGGCAACATTTCCGTCAATATTTGCGACCAAAATTCACGACTCGCTCACTGGCCGCAAATATTGACGTCAATATTCGTGACGGAGAGCATGCCAAGTATTGTGGAAAGCTTATAGGGGGCCTGTGCCCAACGTCCTTAAACCGTTTACGCAAAGGCCGCTGGGCCAAGAGAAAATGAGTGATGGATTGAGAAAGATAAAAGTGCAACGCGAAATTGGCCCTGTATGCGGTCCCTCCACACAAAATTGTCCAGTTTTTCTTGTATGAAAACTGATTTTCCGACAAAATGGCTTTTACATTTTGTGTGATCGTGGTGTCCGTGAATAGGTTTGAAAGCAAAATCCCTTTGCGCTGATCTCAGAACTATGCGAGGTTTTCAGTAAAATGTAAGTTTTCACAAAATTTGGTCGGTTTAGCTTATGCACGTGTGCAGTATTTGAGCAGATGAGACCAACGTTTCCATGTGAGGAGTCAGCGGTTCCGGTACCAATTAACTGCGGTACACCGAGCACAACTGAGATAAAGCAAGCCATATAGTTACTGATAATTTCGAAGGCAGCAGGACCAAATGACATACCAGTCGAAGATACCAAGGCAGAATATTATTAAGACAACAACTGGCATTCTATACACATGTTATTTTTTTTTTAAATTCACGATAGCAAGACGTGGAATGAGGAACAAGTCCCAAATGATTGGAAGGAAGGTTTCATTAAGCTATACCGAGGAAAGGGGATCTGAGGGTGTGCAGTCACTTCAGACTGAGGGATAACGCTCCTTTCAATGCCAGGTAAAATCCTGAACAAAATCACCTTAGAGAGGGTGAAAGAGGCAATCGCCATCAAGTTCCGGGACCAACAGACGGGTGCCGGAAAATAGACCAAATCGCCATCTTACATATTATCGTGGAGCAGTCACTGAAGTGCAACTCTCCTCTGTGTATATACACATTTTATTGATTTCGGAAAAGCCCTTGACTAGCGTCGATAGGGAATCACTATGAAAATTGATTATGGAATACATGAGAAGCTCGTTTTCTCTAGTCAAGTGTACATGTACATATCAGGACATGTCATACAGAGTTGTCCACGCCGGTCGTCTGTCAAAAAGTTTAAGGTCAAAACCGAAGTCCGTTAGGGATGCCTGTTATCAACCCGTCTTGTTCCTTCTAAGCCTAGTTTCCATATCGACGAACGAAACGCAGAGAGCAATGTAATCGAAACACAAACTGCAACGCAGACATATGGGAACATGTCAAACGGAAGTATCGCCAGCCCCAAAAACCTGAGCCTCAGACGGATCGGCAAAGTTGAGCCCGGGTCGATGTTCTATATATTGACAAGAATATAGTATAAAAATCAGTGCTCTGATAAACTTGTAATTGCCGAGCTTTCGGTAACTGAGTACCTTCTTCAAGGCATTCAGATTCAGTGATTCAGTGTGAACTGAATCTGCTTGCCCTGAAGGTGTCCGGTTACCGAAAGCTCGGCAATTACAAGTTTAAGAGCACTGATTTTATACGATATTTTTTTGGTCAATATTCTGATCATGGTGCTACGCAGCCCTTCCGTAGTTTTAAACAACGATGTCCTCGCTTAGTACCATGATTCATTTTGTCATTTTTTTCCTTATTACTTGCTTCAGTCATCAACAAAATAGCTGGCCATAAACAAATTACATCAAAATTAGATATATCAGTTTAGCTTCAAGAGGTGACACTGCCACCTAAAAATGGCATTTAGTACGAAACTTTTCGGAGTTTCAAATGCTTAATTTTTTGTTAAAATGATGCCACGCAGCCTGCGTTTCTTCCCCGAAACTCTAAAGCTTGAAAGAGCAATGCTACCGCCGAGGCTCTGTACAGAGTTTAGAAGATTGTACTTCATCACCTGTAATGGCTATAACTGTTAATTGGGCTTTAGTACAACTTCTGTAAACAAATGTCCTTTTGAAGCGAGCATTTTCTTTGTGATTTTTTTCCTTATATTGGTAAATGTTTATACGTACACCACACACAAAGTGGATTAGCGTGACATTGACAGGGCACGTGGCAAGAGTGTGCAGCACTGCAACCTTATATTTTAGTTACATGTACAACATGCGTTTTAAAATCCGAGTTATACTTGATACCCATGAAGGTTTTTTTGTCTGTGAACTGATGGAAAGTGACCATGGACGTGTCCAAGTAGACAAGTGTGGTTTAGCGTGGGATTTATAGCGAAACGGAAATTCTTTTACTTCCATTAAAATCGCCCCTTTGAAATCTCTGTCTGAAGGGCCACCTACATCCAAGGAGCAAACTAATCTGTTAATGTTTTAGTTAAAAAACCTACTCCGATATGGAAGATGGTCTCCGATTCTAATACCTTCACATATGGACCCCACTTCTTGTGGCCTTTCAGGAATGAAGTCGCTTGAAGTAAAACGAAGTTGTCGTCTTGGCCGTCAATGATAAACAGCGCCTCCCCAGCAGACTTGAGACACTTCGAGATGCTCCGGATTGCCTCAAGTTCATCCGGAACCCAATGAAGAACGTAGAAGCAGACGACTTTGTCGAACTTTTCCCGCCAGTCCGGGTTGTCGCCCACCGTCTGTGCGTCACATTTGAAGTACGCTACGTTGCAGACCGAGTTGGATTCGGCGGCAACGGCCAACATTTCTTCCGAGTTATCAATGGCTGAAAAGGAATCCCCCCCAAAAAAAGCGAAAGAGGTTATTACAGAACCTCCTGGTTTCACACTGATTGCTAGGTGGAGGGCGATTTGGTGGTTTGTTGAGTGGAACGAATAACCAGTGGAAATTTAAAATATAGGCCACTTTTCAATATAGCAATTCAAGCTTTTGATTCTTTACCTCCAAATTTAGAGAGGCACTGCTGTAGCCTCCTTTCAATCCACTGAAATGACAAGACTGGTCATAAAAACACTGCTTGTATTTTGTCAACAATGAAATTGTTTAAGATAAATTCCCTTTTTCAAATTTGTACTCTTCTTTAATATGCTATCAACTACTTGAATCTTTTGGGGAAAGGCGGGTTGGAAATGCACTTTTTAGCATTTTAATATTACCCATGCACTGCAAAAAATCCAGAGTTGTCACAGGACCATTTCAACGATTTTCACTGGTGTTAAGATTTTTTGGCGTTATTTTTGGCTGGTGTTACTTTTAACACCTTCCACTTCATTGTAAAAGTTGTAGATATACAAAATAACACAAGCGGTGTTAAAGTAACACATTTTGGAGTGGTCATCCGATAGCACCGCATTTTTCAGCCGGCGTCGCATTTTTCAACCGGCGCCGCACTTTCGATTGGGCGTTGCATTTTTGGTTGGGCGTGGTATTTTTCAACGAAAAATGCGACGCCGGTTGCAAAATACGACGCCAGTCGAAAAATGCGACGCCTGTTGAAAATGCAACGCCGGCTGAAAAATGCGACGCCGGCTGAAAAATGCGACGCCTGTTGAAAAATCCGATTAGAAGGCAAACATTATGGTGTTTCATATGTTACGTTGTTTCATATGTGCCATCCGGCTTCGCATTTTTCAACCAGCGTCGCATTTTTCAGTCAGTGTCGCATTTTTCAACCGGTGCCGCATTTAGGTGTGAATAAGCCGCGCAGCCATTAACGTTGATGGTGAAGCCATGGTCTGGCTAACCTGACATTGTCGACTGGAACGGTTAAGGTATGCGTAAATATGTTTAATGATTATGGAAACGGCTTAATTAGCATGTATTTGTCGACTGGCTGACCTGACATTGTCGACTGGAACGGTAAAGGTATGCGTACATATGTTTAATGATTATGGAAACGGCTTAATTAGCATGTATTCGTCGACTGGCTGGCCTGACATTGTCGACTGGAACGGTAAAGGTATGCGTACATATGTTTAATGATTATGGAAACGGCTTAATTAGCATGTATTCGTCGACTGGCTGACCTGACATTGTCGACTGGAACGGTAAAGGTATGCGTAAATGTGTTTAATGATTATGGAAACGGTAAAATTAGCAAGTATTTGTCGATTGGTAGAGCTGCAGGTAAATAAATTTACAGCCCTTTAATGACTGGTCCCCGTCCCTATATTTCGTAGGGTCCAGTGGCTAGCTGCAATTTAACATATGCGATAAGCCCTGTCAATTTTAATGGCTTTATAGCCCAACTGAAACGATGCTGAATAGCTATCCAACACTCCGCTATGCTTATTTATATTTCAACTATGTAAGTTGAGACATTCATAATGGTAGTACGATCCAGTGTCCGATGATGAAAATGTGACTAGTGACGACTAGTGTAATGGGCAGGCATCCTACTCAATGTGAAGTGAATGGGGTCATGAACCGGTAGGTTACGACCATTTGCGTATTGGGGGAGTGAAGACGTATGGAAAGCATTAGGCTACGTAACCATGACCACGACCCTGTTCACGGCCTTTGGAAGGCAGAAAAGCGGCCACTTTTTGTCCTCCATAAACCTGCGTAAATTTTGGCTCGACTTTTCTCAGCAGCTGTGCAGCGAGCATGATGCTATCTCTCGCTGCAAAGTTGACGAACCCATTACGTTATATATATTTCTCCCCAACGTCCGTGTCGTTAAGTTCGCCACGTATTTGCGTGGAAATAATATGCGTTCACTTTTTGGCCAGTTTTAAACAAACGGAACCTCTACAAATCATTTTTATTAAACAGACAAAAGTTTATATAACTGTTATGAAAAAACGTATTTCTTCACAGTCTAGTGCCATATGGAAACTCCATAGTCGTGTGTTAGATCGGTTTTTGTTGACTTCTCAAGAGCATTCAACACTATTGTACCTCATTTATTGATAGAAAAATGACTCGAGTTAAATGTTGCTCCTAAGCTTATTCATAACTTCCTTGTAAACAGACCTCAATAGGTGCAGTG